TAGTTGCTGGCAGCAACAGCGACACATAAACGGAGGGAAACAGCAGCAAGGCAAAGGCTTTTATGAAGAACAGAATGAGTCATTAAAATCAGCACACGACAGTGCCTTGCAAGGATCAGTCTCCCAATATTGTTCTGTCTACCACCATCCTTCAGGGGATGACTTTCACAGCCTGACTGTAGAGTTCCATCTCAGGACACTTGCTAACTTCTAAACTGGAAAAAAAAATTAAAATTAAAAAAAATGTTCTGTCACAGTTGTTATTGCTGTGAGTGGGAGGTATTTAATTTCTGACACCTTGTTTTGTATAACTTTGTGCTGTAAAGTATCACTACACCAGTATCACAAAATCACTGCAAGCACTTTTTAAGAAAACTGTTCCCTGTATCTCTCCACTGAGCAAAATGAAGGGTAACAGCATGCAGAAGAAAAATGAAGTTCTTTGTTTGAGAAGGTACCTGTGAGCACAAAGAGAAACAAACATTTAGCTGACATCACACAGAGTTAAAACTCCAAAGAAAAGCATTTGTGCAGGTACCTGAAAGTGTAGTTTCCAGGAACAAGATTAGACAAGTGCAAGACAGGTGTGTCAGCAGATGCCTTCTGCTCTCGCAAAGGACCTTTAATTTCCTCCCAGTGGTAACTCACTATCTTCATATCATCTATACTTTCTACATTCATTAAAGAAAAATGTATCAGTTTCTTGTAGCAATTGCTGGAATGAATACTAAAGTCTTTCATGCACTGATCCCTTACTGATTTTCTACAATTATCTTATCAAGCATATTTGGACAGGGTTCATATACCATAGCTGTTAAACCACAGATTTCAAGTTACATTTGGCATGGTTTATCTAAACAAAAAACCAAAAAATTCTTCACACACACACACAAATAAAAATCAGTCTCAGACTCTGCCCTTTTCAAATTGTCCGCTCTTATAAATTATGAACATAATTATGACATCTCGTCATACCCTATGTGATAGGTCTCTACCATGGCCCCAGCTGTACTGACACAGAGGCCTTCTGCGCAGGACAGGAAGAAGCTGTAAAAGCAGCTGCTGTTTGGATGCACGCACTGCATCTCAATCCCCAAGTGGAAGGCTGCATTTTATCACTTGTTTTCATTTATTGAAGTAATTTATAACTGGACTCAAATCCCTGAAATAAATCATGATTCAGGGAACTTCTGAGTAGAGCGAGAAGGAGGAATTTAACTTGTAACTGACAAACAATAATGTAATTATATATTAAAAATACAGGACATAAGCACAGGATGGTCCAGTACATACGACTGCCATCAATGAAGGTAGAAGTTGTAGGCAAAGAAACTTCTTGTACTTTGGGTGAAGCAACTGCAACAGGCGGCTGGTTAACTCTGACTGCTGTGAGAAAGACAGGGGGTGGGGGAGGAAAAAGTTCTGAAAGCCCAGGCAAAACTAATCTGTTAACTCTATAGATCAATAGTCCCCAGTGATTTAAACCTAGGACTGACAGCTTTGCAGCATCTGCTGTCCTTTTTGGACAAGGGAGAGAAAAGGTTACTGAAGAGCAGTCCGCTGATGCAGCAGTCTTCCGCTGCAACCACTTCAATTGGTATAATTTAAATCAGACCTGTGCACTGTAACTTGCAGCTAGAGATGGTTCAGCACCTAATTGCTTTTCCTAGCTGTATTGGAGAAGGGGACCATAAATGGTGGCATGATGCTATCTCAGGCCTTGCCTGAGGAGGGTACAGGACCAGAGAGCACTTAAACACAGTGAGCAAGATCCTTAACTCTACTTGCTTAAACTGCTTTATAGACACAAAGATATGAAACATCTCTGCATGACTGGACTACCAAATGTCCTTGACAGACAGTAACTGACAGACTATTAGATAAGCATATTGTACAACTACCTGTGTTGAAGAAATTAATGTCATTATTTTAGCCAACTGGTTTACCTGGTTTGACAGTGACATTTACAAAACCTTCACCAAAGGCATTTTCACCAGAAACAGTCACTTTGAAGGCATAAAGTCCAACCGATAACTGAGACAAACACAGAACAAATTGGGTTACATGTCAAATTATACAAAAGCAGTATGCATAAATCTGCCAATCATATTGTAAACAGAGAAAAATCTGGGTATCTGAAACCTAGAGCTCCCTTTATAAACACATACACCAAAGGTCACTAGTCACTGCCCAGAAGTGGGGAATACAAAGCAAACACTTAAGAATTTTTATTCTATCTTAGAAAATTATTAGAGCCCTCTAAAAGAGACACTTCTAATCTCACAAAGATTTGGTAACACATGCAAGTGAAGAGACTTTGGCAGTCATTCGAACTCCTTAAATCAAGGTGCCCTTCCCCACAGTTCAGATTCCTGTGAAAGGACCACACAAACAAAATGAGCCTGAGCTTACAGCTCACTTACATGAGAGAGCTTCAGGGTCTGGCTGTGCCTGCGCTCCATTTCACCACCATAGTCAGGAGGGTGACTGATTAAGCTCCATTCATAGGTGTAGGCTGTTTCTAAGAGCAATAACACAGCATAACATCATCAGCTTTGCCTTCAATATAAGCCCAGGACACAAAGAAATCAAGTTCCATCCCTCAGACAAAATGCTACAGTAGGAAATCATGACTGCTACTGTTTAAGCTTGCAAAATGAAGCGGTACAAATACATGTTAAACTTCCACAGTGTGTTGTAACTTGGTAAAGCAGCAAGGATGTAATGGACTTCACAAACTGACTTCTTCACAAAAACCAGCTTCATGTGAAGTGAATGCATTTTACATAGGTACCTATGAAATATGTACTCTTTGCCACTGGAGTTTGGAAACTGATAGTTTTAAGGCAAATGTTGCATTCAGAACCTACTTTTCTGCTCCTCTGCTTTACAGCAAGATTCTATAACCTGGGTCACATCATCTTTTTGTAGAAACTACAGGCTTTCTATTGAACCATCTGGCTAATGAGTTCAGGTTCTGAAAATAAAAGCCAGTTAAAAAAACAAACAAACAAACAAACACCTCTAAAAATCCAAAAGGAGGAAACCCTCTCTGCAGTTGGAGCCACAGAAAAAGTAGGAGATGAGAAAGATGGTTTTATCCTGAGATGCAGATGTTCACATAACTCTGGACTTGTCTGCATTTACAGGTTAGTAGTGCGTGCATCTCCTTGTATGCCAAGGCCATTCAACTCACCTGTAGGTGGTGGTGGGACAACAAAGGCATTCAGTTCAACCTCATTTTTGGGTAGCATCACTTGTATGTTATCTCCAGCAGACACAATAAGTTCTTTTACTGTATCTGAGACAGAATGAGTACATCATGTTTTAACAGATGGGATGGATATAAATTTAATATCTTCAAATATTATTTGTAATGGATTAAGTAAAATTTGACAAACACTCCACAGTGAACAGGCAAGGATAAATAATAAAAAAAAAAAATTCCTCAATACATAATCAAATAATAAACTATTATAATCATGACCATGGCTCCTTCATCTTTTACCAAACCAATTTTTTTCTTCTTCCCCAAATATGAAGTGTCATTTCCCCTGCTTCTGTTTTAGAGAAAAGCATTCTGATTATTCCTGTATATCACAGGTAATGTTGCTCTACATAAAGAATTACGCATTTTTCTTAGTAACTGGATGGAAGTGCAGGAATTAAAAAATACACAATTACAGAAGACAAAAAAGCCATCTGCACCAGAACAAACCTCATTAAATAAAGTAACATAGTCCATACTAGAACTCTAATATCACTCCTTTCACCCAGAAGCACTGCTTCTATGTTTGTGTGGCACTTGTGAGCCTCAATGTCCAGCCTAATGTCCCTTTTAAAACTTCCACCGGTATAGCAGGGCAAAGGTGTTATTTCGTAGCTGAACTGTACATTGAATCTATCTGCCATCCATGAACACCCTCCCAGTTCTCATCTGTGAAAACTCCTCTTCCAAAAATGCCAAAGCCCACAAATCCAGTCCCAACAGAAACATACCAAAGCACAACTTCAGAAAAGGTTCTATATGTCAAAGATTTTAAATGTCTTCCTTTTAATATTGGGAACCCACAGAACAAAGCTTCTCCAAAAGCAACATTCACCAGTGTCTAAACATCCAACTTAGAAACTCTGAATAGATGAGCAAGAGGCTACTCAGCAGTGGCAGCAGACAGGTCTAAAAATGGATGAAGTGAAGAGGCCACACTGACAGCACACTTTCTGTCACTGCTACTTAAATGCACCCAAGGGTCCATAATTGCTCGTGGGAGTTGCCCTAGACACCAGTGGAGTGCAGGTTTGTACTCTGACATCCACATGAGATGACAATAGAGTGCCTAGATGAGGGTGGTGACCAGAGGAGAGAAGGAAGGACTGTCTTCAAGACTTCCAAGACAGTGGGGCTGAAAACACACAAACTTGAGGCAATCCTTGCACAAAGCAGTACTTACGGTGAGATTCACCACAACCTTCCCTTCAGCTTCTTCTTCCAAGCTCCTTTTTGAGTCCTCTTCAACCTCCTCCTGTGAAGGAGGAGGAGGAGCTGCCTAGTCAACACTCAATGGTAATGATGATCCATTGCCTTGGAGAGGGATCTCTTGTGGCTCATCTCTTCCTGTTACCTCCTACCGCTACCCTGGCTGGCAGGTTGCAGTGTGACAGAGGACGCCAAGAGTGTCCCAAACCAGACTTGCTCTACCAGGAAGCAAAGGCCTTAGCTCTCCATGTCCCTCAGTACATCAGGAATGCAGAAGAACACACATCTGTGCTTCTCTGCTTCTTGTGGCCCTTCTAACCCTTTGTCAGGGTGCACAGGGAGGCAGGAAACTCAGCAGGAGAAAGGAGATACTCTAACATACACACAAAATTTAACACAACTACAGATGACATAGTGGTTAAACATGTCCTTTTCAAAATAAAAACTTTTGCTCTGCAGCTGGAATTCTGATAAGCTTCCTCACAGACTTGAAATTAGAGCAAATTTTTTTTTCTCCAGGATGAGAAGGCCATGCTCTCCCCTACTAAGAGCTAGGCTTCTCCCCTATTAAGGGCTGAGCTTCCTCAGGTCCCACCTATGTTGCTGCATGATATCTGACAACTACATCAGTAGGAACCCTACTGAGGAGTATCTGAGGGGGAGCAATGTTATGAAGAGTCACACAAAAACAACAGTATGGCTAGAAGAGACTACTGTGAAATTCCAGAAAACCTCAGGTACTTCTCACCAAGTGTAAAAATTAACCCATTTTAAAAAGGCTCTTAATCATCTCTGCTTCTTACTTTGCTGTATTTGCTTGAGTTATAATTTCTGATTAATGACGGACTTGGTCAGTTTTGCCTCAGAAGTAACTGGCTAAGGGGTCTGGAGTTTGCAGTGTTACTGTTGGTCTACAGGCTTAAAGTGGGATGGTTTGCATAAAGAGTGAGCTCATAACTAACAACAGGTTGGAAGCCTGACAGTAGTAAAGCCATCCCCACCCACTGTCCAACCTGCAGGTATCCCTCAGATCTCCGGTTACATTGAAGCATTACCTGCTTTAGCAGCAGTAGCAGGTGGTGTGAATTGCTGCATGGGCTCAGATGGCACAGTATTAATGGGAAGTAGCATGATCCCACCTTCAGTGACATTCTCTGGGGCCACTGTGGGAGTCTGGGTTTTCTCTGACACACCTGGGGAGAAATCCAGTTTGTCTGAAGAAGGGGAAGGCGTAGCAGCCTGAAAAATGAATGATAGGGAAAGAGTTGTCGTGAGCCATTTTTCACATTTCTAGACTTAGAGGTATGCTGCTTTTTAAATAGCATGTAGGGTGAGCCTACTGATTTATGTTACTAGGAGGTTTTATTCATATACAGAATATCTATCAAATGAGGACTGTTTCCCCACTCCCCTCCCCTCCAGCTTTGTAAGAAATGCTAATCATTTTCCAAGTTTCAGGTGCACAACAGTGTAGGCTATGGTCCTCAAAATGAGGTAACCTGGAATAAGCTAAGGTTAGCAGTTCTCAAAATAATAAAGAACAGTAGGACAGGTTTAAATACAGTCATAAACCTTTAAAAGCCAATGACAAAAAGTTTGTGTGGTATTACTGTCTTCATGCTGTATACACACAAGCATAACAGAATCCTTGCTTCCTACTACATCTGCTCAGACCAGAACTTGCTCATGCCTTCTTATTTTCTCACCACTAATAAAATGCCCTAAATGTCTCTACTTCAGACACCAAGCAGTAGTGTTGTTCTCACTGCCTCACCTTGTTAGTAAACCAGAACTGCAGCAGAGGGCATTGCAAATTTTGCAGGAATAACTCAGCACTGTGTTAGCCTTGCCCATCACCTTGCCCCTCTCTCTCAGGCCCCATCACCCTTCAGCGACACATTAGTCTCAACAGGACAATAGTTTTTCCTTACATTCAAGACTTATTTCTGACCCAACATCTAGACAAAAGCATTTTGCTAATTATGGTTACTGTGTGTTGCACATGAACATTTAAGTGTTCAAAAAATGGGTAGATGTGGCACTTCGGGACATGGTTTAGTCTAGTCTACCCTTGATTGGCTTAGAGTAGACTTGGTAGTGTGGGTTAATGGTTGGACCGGATGATCTTAAAGGTCTTTTCCAACCTAAACGATTCTATGATTCTAAGACATAGGATCATAGAATCACAGAATGCTTTGGGTTGGAAGGGACCTTGAGAGATCATCGAGCCCAACCCCCCTGCAGTAAGCAGGGATTGAACCTGTGAACTTGGCGTTATTAGCACCATGCTCTAAACAACTGAGCTAACCCATAACATACTGCTATTATTTGTACATAATCTATTAACTATAGAATAGGATTATGAAGGCTGGTAAAATGCACACTCATATCACAGAATGGCTGAGGTTGGGAAGGGACCTCTGGAGATAGCCTAGTTCAGCCCCCCTCCTCAAAGCAGCGTCAGCTACAGCAGGCTGCTCAGGACCACATCCAGTCAGGTTGTGAATATCTCCAAGGACTAAGAATCCCCAACCTCTCTGGAAAACCTGTTCCAGCATTTGACCATCCTCACAGGAAAAAAGAAAAAGATGGATTTAATGTTTAAATAGAATTCCTTGTATTTCGATTTGTCTCCATCACCTCCTGTCCTGTTACTGGACAGCACTGAAAAGAGCCTGGCTCCATCTTCTTCACTCCTGCCACAGTTCTACACATTGGTAAGATCCCCCTGAACCCTCTCTGCTCAAGGCTGAACAGTCCCAGCTTTCAGCTTCTCTTTGTATTTCAGGTGCTCCACCTTCACTCTGCAGTCTGTTGCCTTCCTACAAAATCAGAGCTGCTCTGCCTTCGATGTGGACAGGAAGAAAAGCTCCCTGTGCAGCTGGGAACATGAAAGCTATGCCAGGGACTGTTGCTTCCCAGCCTGCAAGGAAACAGAGACCAGGGAAGCCATCTGCAACTCCATCTCTGCCTCTAACAAGGACAGAGAGAAAAGATCCCTGTGCAGCTGGAACAGTAACAGCAGTGTTGGGGACTGCGGCTGCCTACCCTGTGAGGATGCCAAGGACCACACCAAGAGCTGCACCTCCAGATGGGTCCGTAACACAGACGATGCAAGCACCTTTGTGGCCACACCTCCAGCTCTGCTCAATATGCAGATAGTAAGAAGATATCTCTAAGCAGCTGGGACACTGACAGCAGAATCAGTGACTGCAGCTCCCCTAAGGTAGTGCCATCAGCATGCCAACCCTAGACCCTCAGCCGCAATCTCACCCTTGACAACATTATCGCACACAGGGAGAGCCTCAAGCCCATCCTCTCTCATACGCTGACAAAAGGCCTTTCCTCCAGATAGCTCTCCTTTATGTACTCACTCCATCCCACACCTTCCAAAAAGGTCTTCCTTACCACACTTTGGCAAACCAAAATGTTTGTTTGCCTTCCAAATTTGAGGGAAATCTACTTTTCTGAGCTTCCTCTGGCTTTCCTCCTCTCCTGGCCCTCTGCCAATCTATTAGCTGAGAAGTAGCCATCCTGGCTTTGTAGGACAGACAGGGACAGAGTCACCTCAAACGTACGTTTCCTGGGATACTCTCTTCTGCAACAGTACCACGCATCTCTTCAGCCAGCAGGCCTAGGCAAGACTCTGAAGTCAAAAAAGGTGCCCTGTGGCAGCGTCACATCTGAAGCAGTGTCACAGCCGAAAAGATAACTTAAACTGTTAGCAAGCAGCAGATAATTGGGGCAGGGGCAATCAGAAATTGAGCTCTCAGGCAGAAACTATTACAGAGATACACGCTGAAGCAGGTGTGGAGGGCAAGATTAACCCAAATTCCAGCTTGGGAACTGAAAGGAAAAGGCAAGAAAAGGACTCTTTCTGGAAGTAGGGTAGGCAGTTCTGTTGGTATGGGCTTTGTGGTTTTTTGGTTTGCTTTTACCCACCTGTACAGCCATTACTGCCTGTTATAAAATAAACACACCAACCGTGAGGGCCTATGTCCTTCAGTTCGCAGGGTTTGACTTGAGTGCAAATCTCTTGAGAATTCCAACAGAAAACAAGAACACCCCCAATAATCCAAAAGGAAAAAAATAGCCATGCAGTTCCATGGGGAAGCTCAAAGTTACAGTGCAGGCAACAGCATCATGCCAAGGGGGATCCTTTCCCACTTCTGGTCCCTGGCTGACCCCACAGATTGGGTGTTTTCTTTTCTCCTCATGAATGGGAAGGACAAGCCCACCATGTTGCCTTGCTCCACCCTGATCCTCCAGGCGACCCACCTTTTTTCCCCCTCAAGGAAGCATCTTCCTCAAGTACTCCTAAAGACAATTGATCAGGACTCTGGTGAGTCAAGGGCTGCTAGTGCTGTGTTTCATACAACTGCTTCCCCAGCAGTGTTTCCTTCACATCCCTCTGCACATATGACTACTACGTAAGAGCAAATGGTACTGCAGTTTCTCATTTATCTGGAAAACCTTACGCAGAGCAGCTCTGTCAGCAGTGAAACTCTGCTGTTTCACTGGTCTGCTTCTCCGTCCTTCTCTGCATTCAGTTAGACTGCATTCAGTCTAATGATTTCAAGCAGTATGACCTCTACTAATTGTGTAGTTGGTGAGTTGCAAAAGAACAAACCATCATACTGTATGACATGAAGTGCAGACTTCGAGAAAGAAACAAACATTTTTGACAGGTAAATCTAAATATCAGAACATCTTTCAGGGGTCTTATACATCCCCTTGGGATCAAGTCAACGTATTTTTAACCAAACAGGACCATTCAGCATTCACAGGCCTCCAAACTGAAACAAAGCCAAAATAAGATATGAACATCTCTGATATTCTACTTCATTTTAACTCTTAAATATCAGTTCTGAAGGCATACCAATCAGACATTAAAAGGGTCTTCATCACATATATTGTCAGCCATCTTATGCTTTCTTAGGTAGAGCTTTATGCATTTTGACTGCACCATTATTCCTGCAAATGCAATAAACTCAAGAATAAAGTCAGGCCTAACCTATTGAATAAATGTTTGAAACATCGCATCATCAACATAGCCGTAGCTGAAATCTGGCCAAGACCAGAAAAAACTCACCTTGCTTAACAGATCAGCAGTTAACTGGAAATTTTAAAAAGACAATATTTCACAGATATGTCATGTCAAGAATGGGCAGTACTGAAGATTTCTGTTTTGGGCAGCTTGACAGCATTTACTCTGTACAGATTTCTAAATGTATTCATGTTATTGAGCTGCTAGAGAGTGACAGTCCGTAAGATCACTCTGAACTCTGATGTAAACCCAAAAGCCAGGTTACTCAGTTAACTGACAAATCCCATAGGCTCTCTCCCAAGTCACATATAGAAACCTCCTACACTTGACTGCATTTATAAAAAGGATGCTCCCGGGGCACAGATTTCAGAGGTCTGTGTTTGGTTGGTCTCACAGTTTAAAATCTCTCTCCAGGTCCTTGCTCAAAGAACACAGCACTTGAGGACACTGCATCCTGTTGACTACTGTGAAGGAAGGAAACTGGATTTTTGCCACCCTGCTCTGTCTTGCTTGTCAAAACAGCTTTGTCTGGAAGCTGCAGAAGGGAGTGCATCAGCACGGATCTAGGAACACAGAATTGCTGTGGCAGAAAGAAGCAGAGGATAGGAAAATACTCTATAACATGCAATAAACAGAGGGTATTTCATTAGCAAAAATAGCAAGTTACTAGCAAAAATAGTTTTAAGACCTTCACATTTTCATAACCTATACAAAAAGACCACAGTTTGAGAGGTAGTTTGGATCATGTACCAGTGAGAAAACTATCTGGAGACATCTTGGCATTTTTAATTCAGTATAAAAACTTAAGATTTCTTTAATAACAAAATTTGGTTTCCAAAGAAACATTTTTTCAGAAGGAAGCACAAACATGTGCCTGAACAATCCATATGAGATTTGATTAAAATGTCTGCTGCTGGAGAAAGACACATAAGAAGGAAATCCTATCACCAGAATTTATCACAGGCATCATCTTTTTCACTAGAGTTATGAGTGCAGTCCCCAAATCACAAAAACTTGAAACCAAGCTGGAAATTTGTGTTAGGCATAACCAGCAGGGTTTAGGTGGCAGGGGCCTGGCTGCAGGGCTCACCCCTGTGGTCCCAGACAGTTTGGCAATGGACAGAAACAAGCCACCATACACCAACACTACAACCACTCAGACATAGTTAAGAAAGGGCAATAGCCACTGGGGTCAGGGGGCACAATAGGAGGTGGGGGGGATGCACAACAGGAGACATGGAAGTGAACATGTAGAAGGGGTCATTCTTGGGCACAGGGCTGGAGACACCCTCTTGGAAGGAGGCACTTCATGCCACCTCCCAGGGGACTGAGGCCCACAGAGAAGCCCACACCAGAGCAGAGGAAACAAGTAAGAAGGAACAGTGGCAGAAAAGAGAAAGAAGCAACAAGTGGCAAAAAGGAAAGTGCCATGCACTGACCCCAACCTCCTGTGCTGCCTGTCAGCTCACCAAAGGGAATGAGCACAATGTGCAGTGAAAAGAAGGGGTGTGGAGACTAGGAAGGGGAGAAGAGATGTGTCTGGACTGAAGTTGAACCTGGGGAAGGCCAGGGAAAGGTGTTTGCCAAAACTGCTCGTCACCTTCATTTCTCTATGAATGTCTAAACTCAAAGGATTCCCACTTGGGAAACAAAGGCTGCACAGGCTTTGGCAGTTTCTCAAAACCTTTTGCTTCTCCAGATTCCTAACCTTTCTCTACATTGATACAGAGCCTTTAGAGTAATTTCACAATACATTTCATGAACAGCTTTCAATGGTATCCCATCAACCCTCTATAGCTCTGCTAACAGAGCACTGCTAGATCACCTTCTAACTACAGTTGTCTTATCAGCTCGTCAACATCACTACCAGCTAGGGCTAAAGACTGATCCAGTTTTGGAGCTTCATCTCTTCCGCACTGAAAGACGCAAGCTCATTCCTCAGCCTTTCCACAGGAATTTCAATGGCTGTGCTAGCACAATGTTAGCATAACATAAAGACCACACAGGAATGCCTCCTCCCTGTCCCAGTGAGAAATAGGTTTCTCTCCATTTCACTTTATAGTAAACTCCCATCTACACAGGCATTGCATGAAGAGAAAGCAAAATCTTACTATTCTGGCTGAGGTGGCAAAATCAAAGTAGAGATTTACAAAGTAGGCTTGGCCATATATATTGTTACCATTGCAAGATATGAAATCTCAATTTGTCAGCAGAGATCCTGACAATTGGTTAAAGCTTAGCACAGCGCTAACGTGGCTTCCATTTGCCAGCAAAATACAATGGAGGCAAGCTTCAAGTCTTACTGCACAGCCAAAGTGCACAAACATGGTGGTGCATGGAGTTGCTCCAGGTTCTTTCCACAACTTAATTTCCAGCACACAGCACAGGCAGTAAGTAAAAGATGCTTGTTAGTTTCCCCTAGGAGATGGAAGGAAAAATGGGAGATGAGCTTAGTACAGAAGTACTTGGGTTTCCTTAAATTTTAACTTTGTAAGAACAGCTCAACTATTGCCCTTTGTTAGAACTAAGTGCAGCTCTAGTGCATGACAATGTCCCTCTAAGTTTTATCAGTAAGGACAGTATACTTTGGTATGATACTTTTCATATGTACATTTGTACATACTTTTTGCATACTAATAGAAAAATCAAATCCTATCTACCCCTCTTACTATCTTCCCATATTAATCTATGCTCATTTCAAGGTCTGCATGGTAGATACTTTTTAAAAGATGTCTTCGTTGTCAATGCTGCTTGCAGAAGCAGTACCCACTTTTCAACTTATAACAGATAAAGTGCTGTTGTAAAATGTTCTTCCATATGCAGAGACAAGTTCTAATCTCTTCTCACTTGTGCCAATACACTCCAGACCAACTTGGTCAATCATGAAAGTCACAGGCTATCTTGAGCCTGAAGGAGGTGATCCTTGAAAAGCAATCTGCTCTCATGGTCCCCACTTATCTCCAGGACAGTCTCCTGTGGGATTCTTCCAAGCAGATCCCACAACAGACCAAAGGCTGCTCTCCTGAAGCTCATGACTGTGACCCTACTTTTTACCTTATTCCCGCCCCTCTCAGGAGCCTGAACTCCACCACCTCATGGCCGCATCCCTGACCAATCCCTTCTTGCCTACAAGGATGAGGTCCAGCAGAGACTCTCTCCTTGTCAGCTCCACAATCACCTCTGATAACTTCTTGAAGCTGTCATCAACACAATCCAGAAACCTCCTGCATTGCTTGTGCCCTGCTCTCTCACCCTCCCAGTAGGTATTGGGGTGGCTTAAATCCCCCACGAGGACCAGGGGCCGTGAACATGAGGCTTCTCCCAGTTGCCTGAAGGCTTCATCTACTTATTCCTGACCAAGCGGACTAGAGCAGACATGCACCCTAATGTTGCCCACAACAGTTGGCCTGCCAGCCCTGACCCATATAAACTCTTGACGAGCTCACTGCCATCTCTAGGAAGAGCTCCTAGGCCTCCCCCTAGCACTTGCTGAAAGGGTACATCACCTTTTGTGATCATGAGACAGCCAGGGCAAAAGCCCAAAGCACCTTTTGATCAAGAACAGCTGATAGAGCTTGTAAGAAGCCACTAGAGCCCCCAACTTCTGCTAGCTGTCCTCTCCCAGCTGCAGCAGCCACTTGTGTTCCTCACAGCACTCCCAGAGGCCCCCCAAGAATCTCTGAAGTTCTCAGAATATCTAGAAGATCTCAAAGCAGAGCCCAGAAACTGCCACACCTCTAGGCTGCAATGGTATCCAAGTCAGATTGTATCTTAAGACTTGCTGTTCTGCACACATACTATTGCCATTTCAGTCATCCCCTCCAAGAACCTCACTTGTCACAGATTTCATGCTACTTTCTTATTTACATGTATTTTTCTTCCCTACAGTAATGGCAAAAAATTATCATTTTTACAGCAAGAGATATGTAGTTGCTGGTTACAAAATCAGGTGGAGTTTATAGCAATCCAGCTAATGTTACTTAATTTTCTCTTCCCTCTAGCAAGGGTGTGCCTTCAAAACCAGTAAATGTTGCCTTTACAGCCTGTTTCAACTTTCCAACTGATCCCACCCTGTTCTTAAGGAACCAGAGTGCCTTCAGTCCCAACTGATCAAACTGGCTGGTATGAATAGAGAACAGGTGGATCTTACTTAAGTTAAATACTAGGTCTAATAATTTAGATATTTATTCTTCTTATTGCCAGACTCAAGAAAAGGATTCTAGGAACAAAAACACCTTACCCACTTTATCCTGCTGTATGTCGTGATCCAAAACCACCACTGTCCCTCCTATGTACCTTGCCTCTCTTTATGTTTTAAAAGCATTATAAAAGGTATTTACCCAGCACCGTAATGTCTGTAACACCACTATGCATTAGTAACATGAAACCCATAAAACAGACTTCATTTTATTGATGGAGGAATTTATGTTTAATGGTTTTGGCCTTTGGATACTAGAGGGTCCCCTAGTATTGCTCAGCTAACTTCTAATGAGTCACCAGGGGTCAGAAGGGGAGTGTGTAACACAACAGAAGTGGTGTAACACTATTACATCAGGTCCAAGCCCACTCATCTATACACTTCCAAGGAAACCCCAGTGTCCCAAAAGGAACTCTGCTCAGTATCATCTGACAGAAAAGAGTCCTTTAGCAATTCATCTGCTTATTAAGACAACCCTCTCCCCTTCAGCCTTTTCTACACTGTAACAGGACTGTAAGTCATTTGAGTGTTAGGGTTACATTACAAAGCAATAACCTAATTTGATTTGAAAAACAAAACAGTTGCAAAGTGGCCTCACCATACTCTGCCTGCTTCCTGAGGGTCAAACATACCTCTTTTTGCAAAGAATCATCAGGTTGTGCAAGAAGTTGAACTGCTGCTTTACTTTCAGATGTCTTCCCGGGGAATGGTGTAATCTCCGTGAGATATGACAACCTCTCTGTGGAGTGTTCAGTGACAGAGTTCAGTTCAGAGCTGTTTTTACTCAGAAGGCTTTCCACCTTCTCAGCCTCCCCTTTCTTTTCAGCAAAGTCTTCCTGGTTATCTCCATCATCACCCACAGAAGAGTTGAAGCCATTTTCACCTGCCACCATCAGGCCCCAGTCAGCATAATCCGTGCTCTCCTTCTGCTCATGTTTGATGCTCACCTGAAAGGGGTCCTGCTCCAACTCTTTATAATCATCAATGTATTCGGGTATCTCCTCAAGGCTGGGATCTTTGCCAAGCAGAGACAGCTCCTTCAAGCTACTCACTTCCTCAGATGGCTCATTCTGGAATCCCACAGAGTGGACCATGCTTGGGATCACTTGCCCAAATCCTAGCAGCGAGGCTGGCCTCTGAGAAGGCCTCAGCACAAAAGTAAGATAGGACTTCACAGTTTCAATTTTTTTAGGTTCACAATTCTCTTTGTGTTGGCAGTTCACAATGTAACAGCGTCGTTCAAACATCCAGGACAAGTCACAACCAGAGAGGTCACAACATGCTGCGATGCAGTCGGACACTGACATAGCATGAGGAACTCGCATAATTTTAGTGGTTTCTAAGTTGGGAGATATTACTGCACCTGAGTACGTGGCTCCTTCTCTGCACTGCTCACAACTGGAACCTGAAACAACACCACCAACATAAGGCACAACACTACAACCAAGCCATAATATAGTTTACTGTGACCAAAAATGGCTTATCACAGGACACAAGATATAGACAGGTGGCACCCTGCTTAAATAAGCTCACTTCTTTTCAATAACTTCACCACTACGTTTTTTTCAATATGTGCCTTTGCAATAGGTATTTGTACTTTGGAGGATTTTTCAGTGTAGGATCTTGGTATGTTTTGCAAAGTACCCTTGCTACAAATACACAGAGATCAAAGTGAGTTGCCAATACTTAAAAACAAGAACAGAGCAGGGAACACAAAAAAAAAAAAAAAAAAAAGGGGTACCTCCATTACTCCCATAGCATAGTAAAGCAAAACATGTTTTAAAACAAAACTCAAATAAGATGCTGTAACATGTCATTGTTTCATTTGAGAGAGAAGGCACCAAAAATCTACACAGGAGAAACATTTGTCATCTCACTTTAACTTCACATGAAGGGTCCCTCACACCAACGCAACTGAGAATTTGATCCAGCTTTTATATTAAGCCCAGTAAACTTTTGCTGCTTTACCCACTAGCTCATGTGAAACCCCAAGAGCTTGCTCCAGTAGGGAGCATCTTTCCTTCCTTTACAGTAAAGTTGTAATCTTTTAGCATGACATCAGTATTATTTTCATAGCACATTACAGACTGAGTGTGAAGTGTTCAAATCAAGCATGAATCAACATACTGTGTATCTCAGTCAGTTTTTAACATTTTTTCTAGGTGTTTTTTTCCTGGTTATAACTGCTCTTCAGAATTCCTCTCTCCAAAATGCAACTTGAAAAATGTCATCATTTCATCATGCAAACAGTTGAGTAAAACCAGGACATTCTTCTTAACACGGTTTTCAGCTAGAAGTGCTAACTCGACCAATGAAAACAACATGTCACCGCTGTGGACCTAACACAGTAATGGAAGACAAAGTTGACTCTGCTTGCTTTGCACATCATTAACAGTTGAGTTCTGGCAGCAGAAACCTCATTATTCACAATAGTATGTGGCAGGAGAAAAAGAAAGAGGCAGCTTGACTAATGGATTCCAGCTCAAAACTGTTGAGCTGATGAGCAGGAAAAATGAAATCAGGGAGCAGGAATAGGCCAGCAACAGGGGTTAGGCCTGACCACGACCTAGGGCCTTGGAGATACAAAGATTCTCCAACGCATGCAGTGTGTCCAACCACCACATCTTCTGGGCTGAACTGCAGTACACTCCTTCACAATACATGATCTGAATACAGCTACTGAAATACCTGTGGGGCATCATACTGCCTGGGATGAATGTACAGCTTGCAAAGTAGGTTAAGTTCAATGCAAAAAAACCAAAACAAACAAAAAAATTGCACCACACACTGAGGGATAAAGGGGACAAGACTTCATGATGGTTTTGTTGAGCTGGCTATTTGGGGTAAGAAAAACATGAAACAAAACCAAATTGTAAAGATGATCAATGACTTGCAAATAGCTATACCTGAATAGGAAGCTGACAAAAAGGATAAACAGCTTCAAGCACCATTTTTCTGACTCTAGCTACTCCTTCACACAGAGCTAGGATGCTGTTTACTCTTCCACTTTACACTTTCAATGAAACACCATCCAGGGGAACATGAATTTAAAATATCGTGTTCTAACATAGCCCAGATGAAGTATCTTTATCTGTACCCAGGAGATGCTCAGGATTTGTGCATTTTTTTCTTTTACATTGCATATAAATATTTCCTCCACATTCCCTTTCACCTCCAAGAACGTAAGACCCTGGCAGAGACTCTGAATTGTCATCACAAGTCCTTTCTTCAAGTTGTCTGCACAACTTGGGACAGGGGAGCCAGCAGAGCTCTGGGTTAAAATAAAGTATAGGAGTCAGACAGCCCATTTAAACATTCTGTCCTTTTTCAACCTGTATCAATTTATTTAATCCTGTAAGTCAGCAGGGAGATGAGACACAGGTCTTTAATAGGATAAAAAAGAAACATAATTCTGCGTGAATGTGCAATATTAGGTAAATAACAACTCATTACAATTAATATTTAGGAACAGCACTATTAAGGTGGGTCAAAAAACTCCTTTGAGGGCTGTGTTCATTCCTTCCCTTTTTTACCTCATCCCTGAGGGAGAAAGTGACCAACCTGTTAAAAGAAATTTGGAAGTTTCATTATTTATTTGTTCAGAAAAGAATGACCAACAATTCTTGTCTTAAGAGACAGACTTATGCAATTGGAACAATCCAAAGCTCTAATGTGAGGACAGTCTTCAAGTCCTCATCCAGCCTGATGTCAAACAAAGCTTCAAATCTCACTCTGCCACTTTCAGTTTGATACATCAGCTATCACACTGCAGAGTCAACCTCCCACAAAATTAATGGTGTTTCATTAGCCACAGAAACAAGTCCAGCATATTCCTAAGATAATGCATGACTTTGAACCTAAATCTCCCAAGCAAGCTTCCTAGCCACAGACCTTAGCTACCCCCTTTTTCAAATGTCAGAAGGCCTTGGTTTCATCCCAGTAAGGAATGGAAAAAACATTAAGCTTCAGAATTTCTGTACAATGGGAAAATTATATCCCCACCAAATCTAAATTACATCTAACACTGTAATCAAAATATCAAAGTAATCAAAGTTTCATCTCTTGCTTCAGCTAGAATTACACCTGAGTTAAATTCTGACCAGCAATGGCAAAAAAAAATAGCATCATGCAATTCTGTTTATTGTTTCAGAAGTACTCATTCAGGTTACCAACAGAAAGACTGCTTCCCTTTATTACAAGCCCTGAAAGCTCTCTGGTGCCTGGACCATCAATAGCCTAAAAGTTCTGCAAGCCAAGTGTTCCCCTTCCTTTTAGCTGTACTGTAGGACAACACTGACATATCCAGAGACATAGTTAGGCAAGTTGGTTACCTTAAAGATCCATACCCCCCCCCCAAAACCCTAATAAACAGTCACAGTGTGGAATATAGCTTCATTTTCAAGAGATTCCTCCCTTTAGTAAGGAAACATCCATACCCTTCTTTGAGCTGCACACTATCACTCTTTCACATCTTGGTGCATGAGTCCACTGGTATCAAGAGCCCAGGAGGAACACAGATGTTCCTCCATCACAGCTGGCTGAAGACCTTGCCTCAACTGGACATGGAGACTAACTGCAAAACCTAACAGATGTTCTCCCCGCTCTCTGGCAGGCTCACAGAACCATGAGCACTTGAATGACTTGGAAGCAAATATTCTTTAGTCAGTAAGTAGCAAATTGTGACAATGCACTAACACTGGGTTCATCACAGCTAACTACCCCAGCCTGAAACCCTGCGAGGGCCGAACTATCCGCTTGTGGGCTGGTCTCTTCGTTTTTCCTAGCAGCAAGCAGTACAAGAAGCAGCAGAAAGCAGGTAGAAAGGAGCAAGAGGGAACGCGCAATAGAGGAGAAGAGCTCAGACTCAGACCTTGCACCAAGAAACGTCACATTTGACCAGAATCACCTCCCATTACCTTCTTGCTGGCAGCACAAGCACTGAGAGCTCACATGGCATACTATTCTCATAGCCTGACAGCCTCTGAACTACGTGAGCATGGAAGGTCCTACAGCTGTTTCCTACAGGAAGAGTAGGACTGTCTCTGCTTTCTTCACATCTGCTCCCTCCACTCTCTTTAAGCAACAAACTAGTTCCATTTTGGTTTTAGGTTTCCTGGTTTCAGCTGGGATAGAGTTAATTTTCTTCCTAGTAGCAGGCATAGTGCTGTTCTTTGGATTTAGGATTAGAAGAATGCTGATAACTCACTGATGGCTTAGTTGTTGCTACGTACTGCTTATGCTAGTCAAGGACTTTACAGCTTCCCATGCTCTGCCAGGTACACCAGAAACTGCGAGGGGGCACAGCCAGAATAGTTGATCCAAAC